CTGTAATAAAGATGACATTGCCTACTGTAATAAATGTGAACATTGCGTACTGTAATAAAGATTGAACATTGCCTACTGTAATAAAGGTTGAATATTGCGTACTGTAATAAAGATTGAACATTGCCTACTGTAATAAATGTTGAACATTGCATACTGTAATAAATGTTGAACATTGCCTACTGTAATAAATGTTGAACATTGCCTACTGTAATATAGGTTGAACATTGCCTTCTGTATTAAAGATTGACCATTGCCTACTATAATAAAGATTGAACATTGCTTACTGTAATAAGGTTGAAAATTACCTACTTTAATGAAGATTGAACATTGTCTACTGTAATAAAGGTTTAAAATTGCATACTGTAATAAAGATTGAACATTGCCTACTGCAATAGAGGTTGAACATTGCCTTCTGTATTAAAGCTTGAACATTGCTTACTGTAATAAAGATTGAACATTGCCTACTGTAATAAAGGTTTAATATTGCGTACAGTAATAAAGATTGACCATTGCCCACTATAATAAAGCTTGAACATTGCTTACTGTAATAAAGATTGAACATTGCCTACTGTAATAAAGGTTTAATATTGCGTACAGTAATAAAGATTGACAATTGCCTACTATAATACAGATTGAACATTGCTTACTGTAATAAATGTTGAACATTGCCTACTGTAATAAAGATTGAACATTGTCTACTGTAATAGAGGTTGAACATTGCCTTCTGTATTAAAGGTTGAACATTGCTTACTGTAATAAAGATTGAACATTGCCTACTGTAATAGAGGTTGAACATTGCCTTCTGTATTAAAGGTTGAACATTGCTTACTGTAATAAAGATTGAACATTGCCTACTGTAATAAAGGTTTAATATTGCGTACTGTAATAAAGATTGACCATTGCCTACTATAATAAAAATTGAACATTGCTTACTGTAATAAGGTTGAACATTGCCTACTGTAATAAAGATTGAACATTGCTTACTGTAATAAAGATTGAACATTGCCTGCTGTAATAAAAGTTTAATATTGCGTACTGTAATGAAGATAGACCATTGTCTACTATAATAAAAATTGAACATTGCTTACTGTAATAAAGATTGAACATTGCTTACTGTAATAAAGATTGAACATTGCCTACTGTAATAAATGTTGAACATTGCCTACTGTAATATAGGTTGAACATTGCTTACTGTAATAAAGAATGACCATTGCCTACTATAATAAAGATTGAACATTGCTTACTGTAATAAGGTTGAAAATTACCTACTGTAATGAAGATTGAACATTGTCTACTGTAATAAATGTTTAAAATTGCATACTGTAATGAAGATTGAACATTGCCTACTGTAATAAATGTTGAATATTACCTACTGTAATAAAGGTTGAACATTACCTACTGTAGTAAAGGTTGAACATTGCCTACTGTAATAAAGATTGAACATTGCCTACTGTAATAGAGGTTGAACATTGCCTTCTGTATTAAAGGTTGAACATTGCTTACTGTGATAAAGATTGAACATTGCCTACTGTAATAAAGGTTTAATATTGCGTACTGTAATAAAGATTGACCATTGCCTACTATAATAAAGATTGAACATTGCTTACTGTAATAAGGTTGAAAATTACCTACTTTAATGAAGATTGAACATTGTCTACTGTAATAAAGGTTTAAAATTGCATACTGTAATAAAGATTGAACATTGCCTACTGCAATAGAGGTTGAACATTGCCTACTGTAATAAAGATTGAACATTGCCTACTATAATAAATGTTGAACATTGCCTACTGTAATAGAGGTTGAACATTGCCTTCTGTATTAAAGCTTGAACATTGCTTACTGTAATGAAGATTGAACATTGCCTACTGTAATAAAGGTTTAATATTGCGTACAGTAATAACGATTGACCATTGCCCACTATAATAAAGCTTGAACATTGCTTACTGTAATAACGATTGAACATAGCCTACTGTAATAAAGGTTTAATATTGCGTACAGTAATAAAGATTGACAATTGCCTACTATAATACAGATTGAACATTGCTTACTGTAATAAATGTTGAACATTGCCTACTGTAATAAAGATTGAACATTGCATACTGTAGTAAAGATTGAACATTGCTTACTGTAATAAAGATTGAACATTGCCTACTGTAATAAATGTTGAACATTGCTTACTGTAATAAATGTTGAACATTGCCTACTGTAATAGAGGTTGAACATTGCCTACTGTAATAAAGATTGAACATTGCTTACTGTAATAAAGATTGAACATTGCCT